AAAAAAAAAAAAAAAAAAAAAAAAGCTCCAGGCCAGGAGCCAACACCTTAGGGCAGTTATCTGTCACAGGATGAACTCAGTGTTAAGTTTATAAGACGGACTCTTTTTGTGGTGTTGGGGAATCGGAACCCATGGCTGCTCATGTACAAGGCAAACACTACCACTGAGCTATATCCCTGTTTTACATGACTCTTAACATTATAAGCTCTATGACTATGATAACTGCTTCAACAAAGCTCTGAATAAAATGCTGCATCAGTGCCAAGTAGAAATTTAAACTTTCAAGGCTTTCTTTAGTCTCTGCCTCAAGATTCCCCAGGAAGTACCAGGCAACATAAGTGAGGGAACAGCGTGTTCCAAGGGTCAAAGACTTGGCAATGTAAAAAGGAAAATGACTTTTAGTATTTCTAAAGGCAGGCCATAAAGCCAATGGTGAGATTGTGTCTAAAATATTTTCTTTGCAAAGGTGGCTTCATTTCCTGTAACTCTTGCTGTTTCATGGTGCAGATTTTCAAGAACTCCACCCCCACACAACAGAAGTAGGGAAGGCAATAACGAGGTAACCCAGACCCCTGTAGTTGAGAGGCAGAGGCAGAGCCTGACCTGAAAGGGTTCCAGCATACCTCCCATTCCTGCATGATCTACCAGGCCTCGCTCACCACCATCCTCAACTTGGAGAGCAAGGCGGCCTGGGGAGAGAGCGAGACCTGCTTGCACACCCACGATGCGGCTTCCCGCTCCGGCACCCTCTCCAGATGCTGCCAACCACTCGCCTCCCCCACACGTCTCAATCTTCCTGAACAAGCAGCACTTCTGTTCTAGTTCCAATGGTTCCTCTCCCGCAAGTCTAATAAAAACAGTCTGTAAGGTTTAACGCAGGGTCCTGACCCAAAGCAATCCAACTAAATTGGAAACAGATGCACTATGAAGGCAGGAACACTATATTTATTAGATCAATAATTCATTTTTAGCAATACAAGTACAGAATATATCACAATGCTGGTTACAAACATACTTAGTATGGTTTAATAGTTACAAATAATGGTGGCCACTACAAGTCAGTGAAAATGGTATGAAAGGTCATTTGACACAATGAGCTGTCTTCAAAAATCTATTAATGACCTTAGATATCTCTATAGAAATTACTGTGGCACTAGAGTGGGGATTTTCATGTAAAGAATGTTAGTGATCTGTTTTTATTTATTTCATTAAGACCTTTTTATTTTGAGCCTATTAAACTAAAATCCCCCGTTGCTTAATAAAGTAGAAAAATAGTACTGACCTGGTAATATTTAATAAAATGTAGCATTCATTCACATCATAAAAGTAGAACTAAATTGAAAAGTTTTTAGTTACCATGGCAACATACCTTCCCATAAAAGGAATATACAGAAATGAGTCATGTTACACAAATGGTACCTGCAATGATTATTTAGTGATCCGACACTTAACTGTGCACCACAAACCAAGATTTCTAGATATCTATATATAGCATATATATTTAATCTTAAATTTTACTTTTGAAAAACATGTGCACTTCAACAAACTCACTAAGGCCACTCATGCTAGATACCTAGGATTGCAAGTAAGGACAGTTATTATTTAATAAATCCTAAAGCACACTCTCTGTCTTCAGATCATCAACAGGGTAAAACCAGTTTTCTGCCTAAAACATTCCTGAGATTTGTGGACTACTGCTAATGTTCAAGCTGGAGATTAATCCAAATATTGTATTTTTAAAAACAAATTCCTCGTAACTTGAGGTGAAATATGCGCTCAATTTTTTTTTTTTTTAAAGAAAAAATAGAACTCTTCAAAAGATTAGTACTTGTAAGTATTTTTCCAGTAGTAATTCTGCTATACAGAAAAAGAAGTGTGGAAGCAGCAAGGGTAGGGATGCTGGGGAAAACAAAACAAAAAGTTAGTGGCAGTTAGCAATTCCTGTTACTTAGCGAATCATTCTATCAATTTGTAGTTTTGGGCAAAGGCTTTAATCACGTTTTAGGTACGTCTTTGCTGTTCAGCTTTCTGCTTGCACTACAAAGAGCAGCCAAATGGCATTGCCCGTATGTCGGAGACTGCATCTGCTAGTCTTACTATTTTTAAGATTGGGGTCTTGCGATCTTGCCCAGGTTGGTCTTGAACTTGTGGGCTCAAGTGACCCTCTCCTGCCTCAGCTGCCTGAGTGGCAGAGACTATGTATGTGTGCCACTGTGCTCAGTGTTTTATGCTTAATTTTTTTAAGATTATGACCTCTTCCTAACAGGCTAGCAACAAAGGTCTTCATCACAAGGCAAGCATACCTGGACAAGGGTTGCTACAAAATAATAATAATGAAGGTAATAGTTCATTTTTAACCAAAGAAGAGAGAGTTGATGGGTAAGAAGGCCTCTAATCCTCTGGGGAAAGTCAGCTTGGGGGGCCAATAGGGATTATGCCATGAGAGACGCAACTGGCTCTACTACACAGAATCCGAGTGACTGGCCACCCAGCTGGACATGAGCAAGACAGCTCCCTGATGCCCCCAATTTGAGTAGCACCACAATTTAGGAAAAAGCCTGGGTAGAGAGAAGTCAGGACAGGATGAGACCAAAGGTTTGCGTTTAGTACTGCATCACTAAACCTCCAGAGAATCTTTTTTAAGTTGGCCAGGGCATCCTAACACAACCATTCACATACATAAAAAAATCTGTACAAGCTACTGGTTTTTGTGAGGTAAATTTTATCTTTAGTTTTTTCTTTTTAAAGTCATAAATTATATGGCATTCATCTCTCTTACTCCAAACATCCTTACTAAAGGAATGAATCCTGCGTTTAAGTTAGGTATTATTTTTGATTAGAATCAGAACTAATGTCACAAGTCATAGCCTAAGCATAAGACAGCAATCTTTTTTTTTTTTTTTAAGACAAATGTTTGCTTAGCTAAAGTGTAGGCATTACACCGACATTTGTAGATATACAGGAATTACATTAAAGCAGTGGCGAAAGGAGAAATGTCAATAATGATATTTGAAAAGATAACAACTGTGTCACCCTTTGATCCTAGGCTTCTAAATATCCATTACTTTATCAGAGTGTGAGCTAAGCAGAGTTCAAACTGAGGGAGGGAGGATGAGGCCTTACGTCATTTGCCTGATAGGAAATGGTGAATATGCACAAAACCAAAAAATAAAAAATAAAAAAACTTCATGTGGAAACGTAAGTTTCAAAATATTTATTAAAAAACAATTTACCATGACATTCCTATACCACAAACATATCACAGGACTCTAAATAACCAAAAAGCATACAAAGCCTATCCTGAAAATATCTTTGGAGGTATTAAATATATAGACCCATGAGGACAGAGCTGAGTAATTTACAAGTGTTAGTCCCCAGTCACACAGATTACTATTTGGTAAGTAATAAAGGGTGACGCTTGGCATTAGGCTGCAATTAACTGGGAGTGGGACAAGCTTCATAAACTGCAGGTGTGTCAATTTATTCTTTCCTGAATTTGCCAACAACAACAAAAAATAATTCAATCTGAGGAACACACCCAGGTTTCAAAATCACAAGTCATTGTCCTGGGGTGTGGGCCAGCTTCATTTCTTTTGGTACAGCCCCCAGCAAATCACCTCCTGGGGACCTAACAGCACTAGCGCCTCACATGACTGCAAACAGCAATTCCCAACAGGGTTAAAGATGCAAGGTTCAAAACGTATTTAAAATTTGAAATCTCCCATTAATTCTTCTGTACCTTGTAAGAAAGAGATTAGAGTTCCTTCCCCCCTTTCACCCCATGTTCATGTTAAAAGAAAATCAAAATTCGACACACATCCACTCACCCACCGACTACTCCAAGCGTCAGCCAGGAGCAGGATCTAACAGCCAATCACGAACCCCTGAAAATAGGGGAGAAACTCAGATTCTTAACTCTAGAGGCACCAGATGGGCCACTATCATAAGAATTGAGGTAACAGCAAAAGACCTTTTTGTTTCTTGGTTTGTTTTGTGTCACAACTTCCCCAACTGGAACATTACCTCAACATTAAATAACCCACTGGCTTAAAAAAAGAAGAAAATCAAAACTAAATAAACCAACTAGTGAGACAGACATGTCATTAGGGCATCTTTCCATCTGATCCCTGAACTTCAAATATAATGACACAGTTTTACTATTATTAATTATAAAAATGAAGAACTTTTTAAGACGATTTTATTTTTGGGCCCCCATTTTCCATAATCCCAAAAACCATGTAGTGATCTGAAATCCCCATCTGGACACGAGCTATTTCATAACCCTAGCTGATACACCTATTAGTGGCATTTAGTATTACAGTGACACTGAAAATGAGGGCGGTGGCTGCAGCAGATAAATTTACACTTGCTTATGGCATCGCTGCCTGTGCACCCTGACTAAAGATTCACCACTGAAACTGCCACACTTCCCTAGGTTGGTACTGTCTGAATAAAATTCTTTGCTTATCACTCTTCTTCATACATCTAAATGAAGTCACTCTACTGATTAAAGTTTTTGAAGGGGCTAAAACAACCATCTAAAGCCTCTGGTCCAAACAACCACCTTCTACATTAGGCTGGTCCTTTGGAGAGTTTTCCCTGGTCCTGTTAGCAAACGCTATTACAGCATCTTGACTGTTGTACCAAAAACAGAAACAGATATTCTATGACTTACAGATCAACACTGGTCCAGTTCAGATGATTCTGACAGCCCTTCCCTCGTAATATAGCTCTGGAGTGGTTATATCCACTTCTCTGGGTAAGGTGGTCAAACACAAGTTAGGATGCCCCTCTTTTATTAGTACTTGTGTTAACTTTTCTATACTGCATATAAAGATTTTCCCCATAAAATTTCTTTACAATACAGTATTGAATACCTCCACATGGAAGAATTATATGTTAAAAAGTTGTTAAAATCATCCTTACATAATAAGAATGCAACTCTTTTAAACTCTTAAATAGTTTTATTTAGGGGTTCTTTTTTTTCTTTCAGGCTTACTGCAAAATGAATTATTTTTTTTTAAAAAGAAAAGGAAAATAGAAAAAAAAAAAAAAAAGATTCTCCTGTTGTTTGTTCTACTAGGTTGAAAATGTGGGCCAGACTACTTATACATGCGGTACATGCTGAATATAACTGAATATATGCTTATTCTACAGACACTCTGCAAGATAGGCAACACCCCAAATGGGGTCTTCAATGGACTGGACCAGTGTTTCAAAGCAAATTCCAGCCCTCAAAAACAACATGGTTTTGATTTCACAGTATGAATTCCCTGGAATCTGGGAAAAGGTAATTGGTTAACTGAGGTCATCCCTCAGCAGCTTGGTCCCTCGACACTCTGAGATATTAGGAAGGACTGCACCACTTCTTCAGTGGACTGGGGGCTGGTGTTGACGTCCTCGAGAGCGTCGGTCACTGAATACTGCCGATCCCGCAACCGGTTCCAGTTAGACAGAACATTGTGATATTCAAACACTTTCTCATAATTTCCAATGGAGTTGTAAAGTTTAATGAGGCCTCGGTAATCATATTCTAGTCCACTGTAGCCTTCACCAAAAAGTTTCTTCCCTGAAAGTGATTGAAAGGAAAAAAGAAAGTTCACATAGTGAAATTAACAAGCAGTTTGATTGATTTGATTTTTGTTGCTGTTTTGATACGGTCTCACTGTGTAGTTCAGGCTGCAGTGAGCTTACTATGTTTAGTCTGGCTTCAAACTCATGGTGACTTTCCTGCCTCAGTCTCCTACATGATGGGGTTATAGGCATGCACCACCACCACCACACCTGGTTACAAGAGTATTTTTTTAAACTTATTTTATTTTTTTGAGACAGGGTCTTGCTATGCAGCTCAGGCTAGCCTTGAGCTCACTTTGTAGCCCAAGCTGGTCTCAAACTCATGACCATCCTGCTGCCTCAGCCTCCTGAGTGCTAGGATTACAGCACATGCCACTAGACCCGGCACAAGCAGTATTTTTTCAATACAAACAGAAGTTTAATTTTTTTAATAGGCTGGCTTGGTTTTATTCTTCATAAGAGAACAAATTCTTTTTTTTCATAATTTTATTGATAAACAGATAGCAATGTGACAGTTTCAAATCAAATTGCTAGGACAGTTTCAATAACCAACACACTGCATACATTCTTCTTAGTGGTTAATTGTTGTAGAGAACAAATTCTTGTATCAGCACCTCTCTCCCACTCATACCCAGGAACTATCTCTAAAACTGTAAATTTGGGCTTTATTAAAATAGAATTATAGGGGCCGGGGAGATGGCTCAGTGGAATAAGCGCTTCCCTGGCAAAAAAAAAAGGATTATAAAATGTCGTGGTTTAAGACAAATTATGACTTCTTTTTTTTTTAAAGATTCAGGCTGGCCTTGACGTAACTACGTAGCCCAGGCTGGTCATAAGTTTTTGCTCCTGTTTTGTTTTTTGTTTTACTGAGATAAGGTTTTGCTATGTAGTGGCTGGCTTTTTTTTTTTTTTTTTTTTTTTGGTGGTCGGCTCAGCCTGCCCTGGGGCAGGACTGGTGGGGCATGTGGTGCCCGGGATTGAACTGCAGTTCTTATGCGCTTGCCTGACAGGGGCTTTAGACTGCTGAGCTATCTTGCCGGCTCAAGAGGCTGGCTTTGAACTCACTACATATGCCATGCTGGCCCCAAACTCACAGCAGTCTTTCTGCCTCAGCTTCCCAAGTGCTTGGATTATAGATGTTCACCACTATGCTCGGCTTCTGAATCGTAAATCTGAAAATATCAGTATTTCACATACTCAAAAAACAATGAAGGCCAGAGAGATAGCTCAGCAGTAAAAGCACCTGCTTGGCAAGTGTAAGGACCTGGGTTTGATCCCTGGTACCACATGCCATGCTGGCCCTGGGTGCCGAGTATTTGGCAGGATGGCACATGCCTGAAATCTCAGTGCTGGGGAGGCTGAGCCAGGGGGGCCACTATGAGTCTGAGCTGCATAGTGAGATCGTATACCAAATAAATTAAAATAAAGCAATGAATACCCAGACACGGGGCACACCTGTAATCCCAGCACTGAGAGTCTGAGATAGGAGGGTCATTGTGTGATTAGGTCCGCTCTGACTAGGTGAGTACAAGGCCAGCCTGAACTATGTAGCTAGAACTTGCCTTAAAGAGAAAAAAGGTGGGAGGAGCAAAACATAACACATACATCTCTAATAACTTCTCTAGTAAATAACATAACCACACTGAAGGGAGAGGAAGCAGGGAAATAATTTCAAGTGTGGTACTTCTGTACATGTTCTGGATACATGCAACTTTTACGTTAAAGATAAAGATTAATATTAATATCGGACCCTAAGCAGATCTGTTTTTCACAGACATATGTGTTAGCAATTTTGAAATTATGTGCTTTTCAGCTAGAACATGGAACAAGGTCTGGAGCACAGCAATTTCAGAGATGATTTTTGAGGTCTGCACAGTCCTACGGATAACCCATTACACCTACTGGACTGTACTGGATTATTTTGCTGAATTCACGCACCTACAATATTTAAATGGCAATGTAATACCCATCTCCAACAAAACTATATGAAAAAGGGGGATATAAATGAAGGACCATTTTGTATCTGTTTATACAAATTAGTTAGGATAGATATACAGCTACTTTCTCTTAATTCAATGAGAAGAAAGATTTGTACTAATAGTATTTGGACAGGATATCATGTCTGCATCATGTACTATGAATGAATACTATGAAGACAACAATATGCAATGTATTAATTATTGTAACTGTCCTACTATCCTGTTTTGAAACTGTCTCATTACCATTTGTTCCTCAATAAAATAATTTAAAAAAAAAAAAGAAATTATGTGCTTTTAAGATTGACCATGTAAATCAGCATATTATGGTTAATGGAAGACACTCCCATATATATGGATACAAGATTTATGACAGGGGCTGGTGAGATGGCTCAGTGGTGTAAAGCACCTACTTAGAACAAGCTTAGCAAAGC